AAAAAAAAAAAAAAAATTTAATAATTTAAGTTAAAGATTTATACGGCCACAACAATGTGGGTAGAGGTTGCAAAAGATCCATTTTCTCTTAAAGTTAACAGTGTTTTCATTTCAAGAGTTTAGAATCACATTATGCTACAGTTAATAGAAATTTTTAGGTGAATAGAAATCTTTTGAGGTCAAACATAATTTTTTTTTTTTTTTTCGTGATCAGGGGTGTTCGGGCCAGCTTTTGCGTACCTTAATTAATCCTTTAGGGTTTTGAAGTTAACAACTAGGTAAACCCTCTAGTGGTCACTCCTATTAGCAACACAGGAGAATCAAACTTAAGATCTCTTGAGTAATATATTCAAGAGTTCCTATCGGCTTCACCACATCACCTAAGGGTAGTTAATAGAAAATTTTAAGTGTAAGCATTCACGTTGTTTTGAAACCTAGACACTGGTAAAGTGGTGTTAATAACCACTGAAAACAAATTTTCATCACTATTTAAATACGAAAAAACTGTGATTTGAGTTTTTTTTTTTTTTAAATATCAAATACCTTCGATAACTGTTTACTTACATTATTTAAAAAACCCATTCTTGCTCGAGAGATTAATATCGTTGATTATATTAAGAGTAAAGCTACAGCCACCGAAGGTTGCGCACCGAATCTGTGTACCGAATGACGTGATAAAATCCTGACCGTTGATTTATTATCAGTTAATACTAATCAACGGTCAGGATTTTACCATGTCATTCGGGACACAGATTCGGTGTGTAACCTTCGGTGGCTTTATCATTTTTGTTATATTAATATCTAAAGATAAATAAAAGAGAAGGAAAAAAAAAAAAAAACCAATTAATAGGAGTTTTGGGTTATGATCGTTTCTCTTTTTTGGTCAATTTGGGGTCCAAAAAAACCTATGTAAAAGCTTTTTACGCACTTGCTCTCCATGTGAAATGTTTCCAAAAAAGTTTCAACTTTACACTAGTGCCATTCAATTTATTAGGGTTACAATAAAATTGCCTCCCTCTATGAGTCTATATGTGTTTGTATAGTCCTTTGCGTTCGTCTGCATATTTTAATATGGATCTTGTTTATCACAATAATTGATGGGTAGCCAAACACGAAAAGAAAAGAGGGCGCTTTGGTACACAATTTTTCACTATCCTGTTCTATCCAAAATACATATTTATTTTCTTATTCTCAAAATATTATTTTATATTATTCAATTCTTTTTAAACCCCATAAATTTATTAATTTAACTAAACACCCCCAAAATTTTTTTTTTTTTTTTAGAAATTGATAAAAACACCCCAACAATCTACATTTACTAGATTCTGATCACCACCGTCGAAAGCTAACCGGAATCTGGTATAATGGTGCACTACCAGCTGGATCTGGCTAGTAGTGCCCAACCTTTTCAAGCCAAATCTATGGTGGATGTGACAGGATAATGTCATATCTATAACTAAAGATCTAGTCGTTGACGATCAAATGTGGCCATTGATGGTCAGATCTAGCCGTAGATCTGATCTTTTTTTACTAGATCCACCATGGATCTGGCCGAAAAAGACCATATCGACGCACGACCGATCAGATCCAATCGGTCATGCGCTGATGCGATGAATCCGACCATCCTTCGGCGGTGGTGGCCTGCTGTCGGTATTTAATAGGTGGATGGAGATATTTTTTGTTAATTTTCAATATTTTATTATAGGAATATTTAGTAAATAAATAAACCTATAGATATTTTTATTAATTACTAAATCCTACATAGTAATAAATAATAATCACCCAATTTTACTCTTTTTAAAATATTATTCTAAAAAATATCAGAATAATGAACAAAGTGCAACCTTATTAATTAGAATTTTTTACACTGAAAACTGTAAAATCATACCCTTTGATATCTATTACTATCGGTTAACGACAGCATGGTTCGCACATGAGAACTTTTGTGTACACATATAAAAAGATGACAGATGAAAATAATTTAATATTTAACACAGTATCAGAACTAAAAGTTCCAAATTCAAATCTCACTTTGGGTCTATCTTGCATGTGAAGGGTAAAATGGCAATTTAACAACCTAAGTGACTAAACTTATCCTCATAAGAATAATTCACCTAAAGAGGGAGTTTTTTTTTTTTTTTTTTTTTGGTAATTATTAATTTCATATTTTGGTTATTTATAATGGATTTAATTGAATTGTATATTCAGATCAGAAAAAGGCAGAAAGCATCTAATTAATCTGAAATTGTACAATAATACAGTACCAGATAATAACTGAGGCAGGAGCAGGACACCTCTTTAATTTCCCGCACCAACTTTAATCAAAATTGCTGCAAATCAATTTAATTTTCTACTCTATAGTCTATACTACATTTATTATGGCCTACTTAATAAAATATAATATCAAATTAATTTAANTTGTGAGAGGGCTGGCCTCTGCTTATATAGTGGTCGTCTGGTCTCCCAATCCTGGTGGGAGCAGGAGTCCTAGTGTGACTCTGATACAAACCCTAGAAGAATTAGGGTCGTGGTGAGTTGTCTTACCAGTGTCCAAATAGGAAGGTGACCATGTTTAGGAGAATTCGCTAAGTAGGAAAGTGTTCAGGAATAGGAAGGCGTCCTTGAATAGGAGGTTAACTAGGAGTAGGAAAGTACTATGAAAGGGCTGTGGGCTCTAGATTCGTCCGTGGACCTAGGAAATGGACTAGGTTTAAGAGGCTCGTGCCCGCGTGATTTGGGCCGGTTTATACCTCATGTCAAAATAGGACTAACCTGGCTCGGGCCTTTGTAGGACTGGGCTTGGTCCGTCTTCACTAATGGTTCTATTTCCCTATTTAGGCCAAGGACGATTTTTGACCCTAACAATAACTATACAAGATTAATAACATTATCGAACTAGAACCACCATCTTTTCCTTCTACAATTAAACGATATTTTACTTATAATAGTCGGATAAAGTATTATCGGAGACACGTTGGCTGCGTCCGGTTATCGAAAACAATAGAATTAATCACTTGGATTAATGCAATGAGTAATGTTGATTAAGCCTCGATATTTATTCATAGCTAGGGCAAGAACAACCTGACCAAATTTAAAGAAAATGAAGCCAAAAAATTCAAAGTACGTACCAGACTACCGGTAAAATCATTATTGCTAATTGGAAATTGGATGTGGAAATTTCACCTGCCTTGCCTCCCTTAAAAGCTCCTTCTTTTCTACTTCTATAAATAAAAAATAAAATCGAATAAAAAGATTACTCCACGCGCCATGTTTTTGTAATTTTTTACAACTATTATTTTATTAACTTGGATTCTTTTTAAAGGTTGTTATTATTATTATTTTGGATTATACAATTATACGTCTTAAATATCTAATTTATCATTTACGGTGAGTATTCTAGTTAGGGGTTTTGTCGTTTAACAAATACATTTTACGTTTGATTAATTAAATTAAATGTCGATTATTTCAGATATCTTTGTTGATAAATATCTTTTAAGAAATCCTATAGTGTGTAATCTATATTAGAATTTTTTTTCTTTTTTTTTTGGGTTTTAAAAGTATTTTTATTAAAGAAAAAGTGTTATTTTCAATAAAAAAAGGGAGTTTGTGAAAAGTATATTTATTAAAGAAAAAGTGTTCTTTTCAATAAAAAAAGGGAGTTTGTGAAAAGTATTATAATTAAATTCATGTTCATTGGTTTGTGGTCTGAAAATAATTTTTATAAACTATAATAAGATTTAACTTTTTTACTTGTATTTTATTTTTTAATATTTAATTATTTATTCAGAAATAGTTTTCAATTGCAAATTTATTTTATAGAAAATTGTATTTTTTTTTTATATATCCATAAGCTGTGATCTTATTAGTAATTGCGTTCTCAAAGTTTCAGTGGATAAACTTTATTTGTAATGTCAGGAGTTTGAATCTCACTTAAAGCAGCTTGTGGCCTCGACATTTACCCGAACCCCGATTGAGAATTAATCTCGTACCTTCGAACGTGGGGATATATGGTTTTTAATTAAGCATCTAAGTGGTTGATTTCGAAGGTAAGTTTTCAAATTAAGAAGATTAAAGCTTTGAAAGTAATTTGCACTCTTTGTAATTAAAAAAAGTTGGTGTACTGACTAGTCATTTTCAACCCTGTCAATTGTCAAGGTCATTTTAGTTTCTGCCTAGAAGAATTAATAATTAATTAGTTAAACAATAAAATATACAAAAGACAACAAATCCCACTTAGATAATCCAATTTAACTAGGTAGCTTTGCTCAATCAATTTGGTTATTACTTATTAAGTTAAAATTATCCTCTATTTACTTTTAATTTTTTTTTTCAAATTATTTGTAAGAAAAAAGAAACAAACCCTTCTAATTCTAAGCTTTCATTGAATTTTCCTTATATATTTACCACTTTTTGTAAAATTACTTTTTATAGCTTTTAAAACATATTAATTTACAAGTTGAATGTGATATAAAAAGATAAATATACGTGTATATAAATATAATGTTATTTAATTAAAAAAATAGGACTAATTATTACCTAATTGTCGAAAGCAGGTAACAATCACCATAATCTGGTTACTAATTGTTGGAATTCGACAATCGTCGATGAGACATGTTAGCATCTAATGGTTTTACTGGATTCAAAACTATACTACCGTTGTTACTTACATATATTTGTAGATCTAGCATTATTCTTTCCGTAAATGGATAAATACATGTTAAATGGTTAAATATGTATTTGAAATGACAAAATTTTGATGCAATTTCAACCATTTATATACGTCTATCTAGAAGCTCAAAACTTGTGTAAGAATTTATATATAAAATACATATATAATGGAGTTTTGAATTTTAATTTTTAGATAATAATAAAAAATAGAAAGATAAAAAACTACACCACGCGCCCTAGAAGTGCGTGTGATAAAGTAAGAGAAAACAAATCGAAGAAGCTCCCTTTTAAGCAGCAATTCTCTCAGATTCTTTCTCAGCTGCCTACATTAACATTCTCTTTCTCTTCCTCTTTCTCAAGAAACAAACAAAGCAACAAATTTTTTTCAAGCATATGAGACGATGAGTCGTCTGGCACCATTATCAGAAGAACCCATTAACGACGAAGATCAAGACTTCTCCTTCTCCAACACCTCCAACAAGAAGCCTCATTCATGGAAGAACTGGCTCAAAACCCACTTCTCCCTTCTTGTTTTCACCAAAAAATCTGACCTCAAAATCCTCTTAAGTGTCCTCGGTTGCCCTCTCTTCCCCGTCCCCGTTCTCCCCGAACACTCCCTCAATGAGGTAACGTTACTCCCACTATCTCTCAAATTCATTATATGAATCACCTTTTTATGTTCTTACTCTAGCTAGTCCAGTTGGTTGATCTTTTAGTAACTTCGCAAAAGATCCTAGGTTTGTAATAAAAAAAATAACGTGTTTTCTTCATCAAATCCTGCTTAAACATGACTTTTTATAAGATTTATTTATTTTTGGAGGGAGTATGTTCCATATTTTGCCTTCTTTCTACCTTATTTTATTTTATTTTAGCTTGGAAAGAAATCAAAGAAAGCATCGAAAAAAGGGTAATGAAGCCCAGCATTTTCGTGGGGTAGTTTAATGTTTGTATAAATATTTATTCAGATGTGCAGAAATATTGAAGTTGATAGAGCTAGACTGATTTGATTAATTAATTAATTAATTAGATGGGATGTGGAAGATGATGAATTTGATTTGTTTCTTAATTTCCTTCACATGACTTTGATTTAGATTAAATGACTTTACCAACTTTTCCAGCTAGCTCAAACCTTCTCTATTCAATGCCCTTTGACTAAAGAAAGATTATTTTTTTACGAAATAGTTACACGTCTGTCCTTAAATGTTGGCAGGTATCATCGTCTGCACAGTATATTATACAGCATTTTATGGCGGCAACAGGGTGCCGGAAATTGGAAGGGAGAGTGAAGAACATTTTTGCAACTGGGAAAGTTACAATGGCAATGGGAGATGAATTTGGGGGCTCAAATGGCTCAATCGGTGCTGGTGGCGGCAGCAGTGGAGGTGGTTTAGGAGTTTCAGAAAAAGGGTGTTTTGTAATGTGGCAAATGTTTCCTAACAAGTGGCTCATTGAGCTTGTTGTGGGTGGTCACAAAGTTGTAGCTGGTAGTGATGGCAATGTAGCTTGGCGGCACACGCCGTGGCTCAGTGCACACGCCGCCAAAGGCGGCGTCCGCCCTCTTCGTCGAGCTCTTCAGGCAAGTTTGACTCTGTTTTTTCTATTGTTCTGCGTTTTTTTAGTGGTATATATTTTTTTGGCATACTTAGACAGAGTAAGGGAAATTTATTAAGAAATTTAACTAGAAGAAACTTTTTTTAGTGGTAGACATAAATGCTTGTCTTGTGTAAAGGTTTAAGATGATAATTTTCAAAACATAAAGAATTTTTTTAAAGAATTAAGATCTCAATCTAATTAGATTAAAGTAGGAATCATGAAATGTTCCCAACACATTTTATCCTTGGTTTGAGGTATATGATTGTTAGCAATTAAGTGGATTTATTGTGAATTAAGAAAAACATACAGTCAACCAATTATTGGGTGCCATATCAGCACGTGTGACATGCACTCGCCTCATGATTGGTCGGTTGTACCACACATCTTTTATATAGAAAATTCTTTCGGAAAATGGAGGTAGCAAAGGTGGTGATAGTGAAAACTTAAAGATGTATTCGTCCTCGCAGAATAGTTATAAGAGGTCAACGGGAATCGGGGGTTAGTTGTAATAATCCAAACCTCGGGGGAGGCTACTAGAATTTTCCCTTAGATTCATCAGATCAGACACCCCTTATTTATTTATTTATTTCTCCTTGAAAGTATCTTTGTCAGCAGCAATTTTCCAAACATGGTTGTTATTTGGAAGTTTGTATTTTATATTTTTTTTAATTTTTAAATAAAAAATTCTTAGGACCACATTTGATTAATCACCCAACTTAGATCTTGGCATGTGTGACTATTAAGATATATAATAGGTCTGTCAGAAGTACTTCTTTAATAAGGGCTTTTGGTGAATATAATTTTATGAAAATTGTAGCATCTCAAAATGATTAATTTTATTTTATTCTTTAATTTGGAATATCTTGCATCTAAAGTCCAAGGTGTCCCTGTTGCTTTCATACCAAAATTTACCTGTAAAACTAGATCCAATCTTCCAAGACACAAGATCTTGTTTCCCCGATGCCTTCTCAATTATGCCATCACTTAACTCATCTTCAAAAAAAAGTTCAACTACTCCCACGGATGACATTTGTTTGTGTTAAGAGTTGAAGTTTGACGTTTGCACCTGAAAATTTTCATATGCAGGGAATGGATCCAATAGCAGTATCAAACATATTTTCGACGGCGCAATACATGGGGGAGAAGCAAATTTGTGGAACAGACTGTTTTGTGTTGAAGCTATCTGCAAACCAATCTGATCTTGCTGATAGAAGTGATAGCACAGCAGAGATGATAAAGCATGTAATTTTTGGTTACTTCAGCCAAAGAAGTGGGCTACTGGTGTTTTTAGAAGACTCATATTTAACCAGAATTCAGGCCCCTGGATCTCAACCAACTTATTGGGAAACCTCCATGGCTACCAAAATTGAAGACTACAGGGCTGTAGAAGGTGTGATGATAGCGCACGGTGGTCAGTCGAGCGTTATCATCACAAGATTCGGAGATAATCTCAAGGCGGGACTTTCAGTTACACGCATGGAGGAGGTGTGGATGATCGATGATCTCGCGTTCAATGTTGCTGGGTTATCAATGGATTGTTTCATCCCTCCGAAAGAAGTTCAGAAAGATTGTTGTTTGCCGGATGAAAATGTCGATTGTTTAAGGTCATCACCATTGCTCTGATGATGCATAAAAATTGAATATTAATTGCTTGTCATTTGACATTTAACTAGACTTACTAGATGATGAATGTTGCTCATTTTGTGTATACATGTCTACATATAATGTGTAAATTATTTCTGAATTTTTTTTATTGTTTAGAACTCGAAATTAATCGATATTCATATTGATCAGTACGTTCTAACCATAAATTTATTAGAAAGTATGACGTGATATTAATTTTATTAGGACTAGACATATACATCGTTGTTCATTTTATTGCATTGAAATAATATTTTACAATTTAGATCCAATTCATATATATTCATGGTTCTGATATATAAATATCGAGACATTCTGATTAAAGAATTATTCATATATACTATATATAATTAACACATGATATAATTAACGCGTTATTAAAGTATTAGGAATTTTTTTTATTTAGGAATAACAAGAAAAAAGAAATCCCTTTTAATCAGGGCTGATGAAATAAAAGAAATAATTTTTCTAAATAAAGATTAATATACAAATTGAAATTATCTTACAACTTTCATATATTAGATAATAAGACAAAACGTAATTTAATAATAATAATAATTATTTAATAATCTTCCGAAGGGAATTAACTAACCCCAAATAATATTGGGGATAAATTCATAAGGACCCCTAAACTTTACTTGACTAAATCAACCCCCAGTGATTTCAAAACTTTTCAGAAACTGGTAGGTACTCGGTAAATTGACCTTCATATTATTCATTTACTTACAAAGAAACCGGCAATCAAAAAATGTGGTTAAGCCATTATAGCCGTTGGCTTTCCCGCTTTCAAAACCTTCATTTCCTTTCCCAACAATCAACAAGCCAACTCCTCTCCTTCTCCTTCACCACCGCCACCATCACCACCACAACAACAACTCCATCCTCGCCGTCGCCATCGCCGCCACCAATCCAGGTGGCGCTTACCGAGTCAGCGGGTCGAGGCGTGTTCGCTACTCGGAGAATTTCCGCTGGTGATCTTATCCACACAGCCAAGCCCGTTGTCTCTCACCCTTCTCTCTCGTCACTCAACAGCGTCTGTTACTTTTGCCTCAGAAAGATTACTTCAAATTCACTTGAGTTTCAAGCTCATAACGCTCGTTTTTGTAGCCAAGAGTGTAAAGAAAACTCTAAGGTATGACGGGTTTTTATTCTGTTTGATATACTTATGCTTTGTTTTGGTAATGCCCACCATATATTTGAAGATATGCTTCTGAAAGAAACTGGGTATATTAACTTAACATTTTTTATCTAACTTTTAGCTGTTTTACAATGTCAAGATATAGTGTTTGCTCGTTAAATTAGTTAATAGACTGGTAACACTGGTTGATTTTGCTCAGTGAAGAAGTTAGGGTTTTGTTTCAGTGGGCCAACTTAAAAGAAAAAAAATGGAATATTCAAATTCTTAGTTTAAGATACAAAATCCCCATTCATCCCTTAGTGGCTCTGTCCCTGATTTTGCCATAGGGTCATCCTATGGTACTGTACCGGTAATATCATCGGCCGATGTTTCGGTTATAATATAGTATTGGTCTAGTAATGTTATCGGTTAGATATTTTGGTTATGTTATGGTACAGACAGATAACATTTCATACTGAAAGTTTGGGTGTGATTAATAACGTTTTGGTTTCATTTAATGTTTTCATAACTTTAATATATAAAAATAATCAGAATAATTGTCTGTGGTAACTAAAACATTATTATTTCACGTTACTGGGTCCGGTATCATAATCGATTCTTACTTGATTCATGATTTATGTCAAAATTTAAGTCTACTGAAAGATGAATAGCTCTAACATTTAACAAGTTTAGTTTTCGTTTCATGTAATAATGTTTTAGTAACTGTAATATATAGAATAATCTGAATAATCGTCTATGGTAACTGCAACATTATCACTTCAGTAGCGTTACTAGGTCCGGTATCCTAATGGATTCTTGCTTGAGGTATTATTTATGTCAAAATTTAAGTGTACTGAAAGATGAATAGCTCTAACATTTAACTAAGTTTAGTTATGGTTTCAACTTAGTGATTTTTGCCTTTTTAACGAACTTGTGTTTATGTGCTCCTATTTCTCAGGTTTTTTATGATGTTGAGAGAAGAGCAGATTGGTCCACCTTCGATGACTATTGCCGGTATGAAGTTTTTCTAAACACTTTACCAGTTTCACGTCTTGAAGGGTGATAGATCCATATGATTTCTGTCTGTTGGTTTTGGTAGTTTCTAATGTTTATATTTTTTTTCTAATTATCTGTATGTAAAGGAGCCAAGGATTGAAGTACCCTCTTTTAGTCAAGCGGTTGGCTTGCATGATAATATCAGGAGCTTTATCTGCTGACAGTATTCACATACTTCAACCTGCTAGTTTATCTCCTGAGATGATTTTAAAGGTGAGAAACTTATTGTGAAATTTTCATCAGGATGACCTTGCAAATTAGTAAAATAAAGAAAAAAAACCATAAGTAGATCTTAGATTAAAAAAAAAAAAAAAAAAAAAAAAATCTAGGCAACTGATTAATTTCTTTGTTACACCAAGTGATAGGAGATTGAAAACCAACATATGTCCTCTGATAAACAGTTCCTTTTAGTCAGTTTGTAATTTCCACTTGTTTTCTTGTCAGCATAAGAGTTGAAAGGAGAGGCAATAATTTCTGTTTGTGCAACTCATGAGATGCGTAATTCATGATGATAAATGAAATAATAAGATGATATTTAGATGTGGGTTGATTAACGGATAATCATGATAAACCACTTGGTTTTGGGATCTTTTGCCTGTATTTATTTGAATTTTTATATTGTTAAAATGTTAAGATGACTGATACTGTTTTATCCATGTGAGAATTTCAGATGGAAGAGGGTTTTCATTTGCTAAGGAGAGCCTTAAAGAAGGCTGATGCCATGGATGAAGAGTTGACATGTATCCATCACATTAGTTGATTGTTATGTTTCCATATATTTTTTTTCTTCGGTGGTTCTATGCCTATCATTTTTTTTTTTTTTTTTTTTTTTTTTTTTGGAAATCAGTTGTCTTTGACATTACAAGTCCTAAACAAGCAATGGTACACTAGTGTGATGGCACGTATTCGTATTAATGCTTTTCGTATTGAATTGGCTGGAGGATTGTATGAAGATCTTCTTTCAGCAGCTGCAGCCTCTATAGAAGCTGAAGTTGCAGTTGGGAATGCTGTTTATATGCTTCCATCCTTTTACAATCATGATTGTGGTTAGTGCCTTCCATTTTATTCTGTTTATTTCCACATTAAAAATTATAATTTAGTGATCCTCTCTATATGAAAGGCTTATGGAACATTTTAACCTTATTTATGTAGAGTTTTACTGCAGAGTGTTATATAATTATGCTAATTTTTCTTCATGGATAAATGAGAATAGGAATATATGGGTTAACAGTCCACTACTTAGAAAAGAAACCGAATAGAAATGGGAACTGAATTAGTGGGTTTTGGACTACAGATCCGAATGCACATATTATATGGATAGACAATGCAGATGCAAGATTGAAGACCCTTCGTGAAGTTGAGGCAGGTTTGTCTTGTATACTGTAATTTTCGTTTTTGATTTAAACTGCCTCCTCTTCGGTATTCTATTTGAGAATCTCTAAGGTGGAATTTGCTATTGCATATGAGGGAACACTATATTTGAAAATCTGTTTGCCTGCTTGGATGAAAAGACAGAAAATTTCTTGTGTGTATCTTATTTGATAAAACAATGGTTTCAGCCATTACTAACTGCAACTTGTTTATGGACAGTCAAGTTGGCATGGGAACACACATTTTGGACATGTTTGTGCAAAATTCTAATCAGTCTGCAACATCCGTAAGTTACAAATTCTATTGGTTATTTGCAGGGGAAGAGCTTCGCATATGCTATATTGATGCAAGTATGGGTCACAATGCTCGGCAAACTCTCCTGGCAGAAGGGTTTGGTTTCCGGTGCAACTGCCCTAGATGTTTATCTGGTGATTAAGCAACTTTCTTCCCTGACTTCTTCTTTCCTGTTATCTTTCCAAGTCCAAAATAATGCTGAAACAGAGGTGAAATTTTCTTCTTGCACTTCCCATTGTTGCATGACCACTGCTTTTTTAATCTTCTTGTGTTCAGAACTATCGGATAAAGAGATGTACTCGTACCTTTTTAAAATTTCATGAAGAAATTAAACTCCAGGCATAATCAGAAATCTGCTGATTTGCAGGAACATTAACAACAGTGGATGCTATATAAAAGGGCAACAATTTATTGTCTGCCTTTATAGGATTTAAAAGGAAACTAAAGAAGAAAATAGAGAAACTAAGGAGCATTCACTCACTACAATTACCGGAAAGTACTCCTAACTGGTGATCATTAACTAGTTAATTAATAAATAAAACACGATGTATAGAAATTTAGCTACACATCCCTCTCCCCTTCATGACATGCCTCCTTAGGCCGGGTATATGAACATTTGTTATGTAATCTTTCCAATCTATGCTCCCCACATCGAATCCGAAACTTCTTTTCTCTTCTTCAGACATGATCTCCATTAATCTCTGTGTATTGCTGTTGTCAAACCTGACAATTGTTGATTTGATACATTAAATCACAAAAACAAAAATGAAAAAGATAGATTTATGTACTAAGTTATCAATCATGTAATCAACAGTTGTTGGATTGAGTTAAATCCTTGGTTGGCATTGTGTGCTTCATTCAACCGAATCCAATTGATGTTAGTTGCAGTAATGAGATAACGTTACCCTCCTTATAAACTATTTGACAGTTCACATGGAGATAAGGTTACACTGGTATAAAAGGCAATCGTGTCATTACGACGAATTGCTTACCTTCCTCCATAAAATGTGTATGGCTCGTATATACTAGCCAAGTACTTTGCTTGTTCCACTGACTTTTTGCAAATAATTTCAAGTTTCTTAGACCGTTTCTCATTCATGGCGGCCATGGCTGTCAACCCGCAGCGCTTTGCAGCATCTCTCCAGAGGTGAGTTGAGAAATCTTCCATGGAGCTGAAGAGCTTCATTGAAGGAACATGAACAGGCCTACCCTTTGAGTCCACACATGGAGATGAATTGTAGTGTACATAAAGAAGCCTAGCAAGGTCTTGGAAAACTAGTGGATTCACAACAGATGAAGCTACTTGATAGATGTTTATATCTGGTTTTTGAATCATTCCATGCCTTGCTATGGCTGCCAGTGTCGCGTTCACAACCATATCGGCCGGGACCTGCACCCGACCATGTTAAAGAAGTTAGTTATGTTATTGAGAATAACGTTACCCTCAGACCATTGAATCATATGATCGGAGTCTCCGATACTGTAAATACGCCTTATATTAAAAATATAGCAAAATTATAAGGTCAACATGTATGCTTACTACATCAAGTATCCCATTTGGGTCAACTAGAAACCCTGTTAACTGCCCTTTTCCATAGTATAAAACTATCGGATCCATCATCCTACAAAAAATCAAAGATAATTCACTTTTTTTCTTATGTAATCAACGCAAAAGTCTCCGACAACATATAAACATGTATCCTTAGAACATAAAGGAGAAATATGTGTAAAGATGTAAACTCTAGAGTAGAGATACATACCTATTTCCTTCCATCCATCCCGGAAATGGCTCTTTGAAGGTACTTTCGATAACACTGGGTCGAATTATCACCACCGGAATGTCGCCTCTCATGTTATTAATCATCATTTCTCCCATAGCCTTTGTGAACACATAAGTGTCTTGCCATCCATATTTTCTTGCCCTGTTTATATTTCAATTAATCAAAACTTTAAAATCTATTTTGAGTCACCAATTATTTTTCAACTGTAAAAGTAACTACCTCTCTAGACCCAATTCCTTCATCTTTTGAGCCACCTCAGAGTCTTGAGAGACATGCTGGGAATATTTCAGAGCCAAATTCATTTCATTTTCAACATCCAACGCTGGTACATATCTTGATGCTGCAGCCTTGGAGATAACATTTTCTCTTGCTATGCTATCTCCCATATTGAATGCCTTCTCCATTATTCTTCCTTGTCTTTGCCCATTTACATAAGCTGTTGAAACTTGCACAAAGAGCTTAAGTTTCTTGCACTTCTTTGCAAATTCCATTAGATGGACAGTTCCTCTTGTGTTTATATCAATTGCAACATCATACCTGAAATCTCAAACCGGTCATTATTTATATCACGATAAAAATTATATCTAGCCTCTATACCCGTCCTATTGAAGAATTTAACATCGATAAAAACAAATTAAGGTTATAACCTTTCATCAAATGTTGTATTAGCTGCAGAATTTACAATTATGTCCACTTCTTTTGCAATGATATCAGCTAAGTCCCCATCTAATCCAAGATTAGAGTCACAAACATTTCCCACCACAGGAACCAGCTTGCTTAACATGAAAGCTTGGTAGGATTTTCCATAGGTTTGTTGAAGACACTTGAAGAGCTCTGAATCTATTATCTAAAACAAAAAACATAGATTAGAATCCTGATCAACTATAGAAACAAAATAATGCTTTTAATTTTAAACATAAACAAATTAATTAACATACTTCACTTTTCAATCTTTCCATTGCAGCAGCTTCATTTCTTGCCTTGATCAACACAAATATCTTTCCAACATCAGGCACTGTTCTCAGTATCTTCTCTATAAAAACTGCACATTCATTTTAACCCAGAAACAGAAAACAAAAACTAATTAATATAATATTAAATAAAATAAATTAACTGGAGAAAACAAAGAAAACATCAGTACAACATACATACATACATACATACAGAGATACATATATACATGCATTTGTGTATACTTATATCATATCAAAAGTATAATTCATGTATACAAAAAATTCTTAAACGTGGACGTCTTGATTCCAACCTTTAATGGTGATCGGTCTTTAAAAAGTAAAATAAAATAAAATAGGACGTCCGCATGAAAGAATGACTGTTCATACCTTTGGCAAGAAACCCAGTTGCCCCAGTAACAAAGAACCCTTTTCCTTTAAGAAATTTGACAATCCCTATCCCATTCTGCAACTCCACAAAAGAAGAAGTGGCAGCACCATTTTTATAAGGCACCAAATTTTTAACAACAAGCTCAGTTTGGCCATTTCCATTTGCAGACAAAACACAACTTCCAGCTGCTGCAGCATCCATGACAGCAGCTGCATTATTATTATTATTATTACCATTACTATTATTATGATCTTTGTTTACCAAAACTGAAGAAACAACACTCTTCCTCCTCAAATTTGGCTCACATTTTCGAAAAAATTTTACGGATTTATTTGGAGATATTGAGAGAGAGTTAAGGAACAAAGCCCCCGTCATCTCTTCCAAAAATTTGAAAGAAAAGGGTGGCTTGGAAGCTAAGCACGAGGGTTAGTTTTTTGAAGTTAAGTGGAAATTAGGGTTAAAAACTTGAGCTAAAACATACCTTCCCAAAACAAAAACAAAAAGAAAACAAGTAAACTAACAAAGCTCTATAAAAATGAGATGGGTTTGGTTTGGTTTGGTTTTAATAGAAAGAAAATGAGAGAAAGAGATGAAGAGACAAAGAAGATGAGAGTTAGCTACGTTTATTTTATGTTTTAATATTTTGAACTCTCTTTTTACCTCACTCTTCATGCAAAATTACAAGCTTATTTTATCTGCAACAATGGCTAACATGGTGGGAGTTTTCTTTCTTCTTCTTCTTTGATTATTATTATTATTTTGAATGCATTTTTTTAAGGAGTTTCTCAACCCCTGAGGTTTGATCACATAACAAAGATCCCCTTAAGATTTCCGAAGTAACAAAAATGCCCATATAGTTAGTTAACCGTTAGTGACTTAGTGTACCAGTAGAATTTATAACACGATGGGATGATAGATATTTACTTAATTATCCCTATATCGTTTATTTTAACTTTTAATATCAAAAAATTAACAATAGGAGGTTTTTTGTTATTTCTCTAACTACAGGGAGATTTTTGTTATTTAAATGTACCTAAAGGAGATTATTTTTATTTAACTATTTTTTTAGAGAAAGTTTTGTGTGAATAAAGGGTGTGGGTGAGGAATCACTCTGGAATTGGGTTGGGCTTTTCTTTGAGCCCATTTATGAAATATGATATGGATTTGATAAAGTATTACCAATAGGTCATTGTCATTTGCTAGGTCGAAATTCATCGAGCATGCTAGACGATGTCATTGAGCACGTTGTAAGTACATTGGGGTCAAATTTCATGAATGAGAATTACATTCATTTGTTAGAGCGGTATAATAATATTAATTTTATACTATTACTTATTTTCTAAATATATCTAGACGTCCGATCTAACGAGATTACTATGAAATATTTACTAATCGATAGACAAACTCACTCATTATGGTTCATGATTTTTCTTGGTTATATGATCCATTCGAGGAGAAATCGAGCTTCAAGGAGATATAATATAAGTACTTTGTATAGATGATGGAACTTCACCATAACTCACATTAGAGAATTATGAGTGAAATAGTACATATAGTTATGCAGAATTTGGCTATGTACTTTTATTTTTCATGTTGAAAAATAAAAAAAAAATTTCTTAATATAATTGCTAAGTTCTTTATTAGTTAATTTACTTTTCTTCTTTCAAAAATCTCTTTCACCCTGATTAAAGTTTTCAGTATAACAAAATTTAAAACATGATATCCTAACATTCCGTCATAATATTGACAATATAAAAATCAGATTTGTTATCTCATCCTCACCTATAATTTATAAGACCTCACGAAACAAGAACATAAAGATGTTCATTAAAAAAAATGTATTTACAATTGTTGTTACGAAAACTCGCAACAACCGGAGATACTCAATCGATCCTAATAGGATTGAGTAAGATGTGAGCATAATCCTTTAGGATCAGCAAGAAATTGAACGACAAATAGAAAACAAAAACACAAGACAATTTTTAAAGTGGTTCGACGTGTTTAGGACAAAACTGTGTAGGTCGTAGGGTCTGAAACGGACAATACCTTGATCGCTTATATAGCATAAGGACACCCTTACTACCTAGATACGTCTTCTCAAGACAAAATTGTATGGGTTCTGGAGCCCAAAGTAAATAATATCTCTAGAAATTCACTTACAATGTGTACATACAACCAACTAATTATGAAATCCCAAACCAGGGCGTGAAATTGCATCTGACTTATAATTGGTTAAACGGACACCTATTGTACAAGAGATTTTCTTGACTAATCATGACCGTCCAAAACATTGGGCAAATCACAATCACAAATGCCTTGATGTATGACACTAAAATTCAAACGTTTTGGCATGATTTGGAACTATTAAGTTGACGGTTAAACCAAAGTCTAACATTAGAAAAAGTCAAATTTTGATTTGTCTTCATATAATTAAATATTGCATAATAATAAGGAGTGATTTGACCAAAATAACCCTTGACTTTAAAAATTTTATAAGTTATAATAATTTAAAAAAAGAAATGGAATATTTAGACTCGGTCAAAATATAAAATTTAATAATATACAAAAATTAAGTATGTATAATACAATACAATAGTTTTTTTTTGTTTTTTTTTTATGAGTTATGCTCTCAATAAATTTATAAAATATTTAAAATGGGTGATGCTATTGGCCTATAAATGACATTTTCCTACCCTTTGTTAGGTCCTGTTATATTTTCTATTAATATTTGACTAAAAAAAAATTAAACTACCCTTAAATATTTGATTTTATAAATTTTTTATTATTTTTTAATTAGTAAAAAAGTCAAATATTGAAAAGTCAAAAAAGAAAAAATAGTTAACCACAACTAAAAAGTTAAAAGTAATGTTATGGATTTGTTTAAAGTTAAATAACTTTATTATTTATTTATAATCTTATCAATATCCCATCACTATTATTCAATAATCTACTAAATTTATAATGTTTTTCATTTTTACTAATTAACATAGAAAATCAATATTCCTAATTAATTAAATAAACAAAAAAAAAATATCTTTACACTTAAACTAATAAATAATCACTTTGACTTAACTAAATTTTAATTTATAATAATCTAATTAAGAAATAAATTATTTAAGGGTATTTTCATCTTTTCAGTCAAACAATAACATAAAACACTAATAAAACCTAATGAAGGGTGTGAAAGTGTCATTTTGAAACTTGACCAGTGGGAAAGTGTCATTTTGCCAAACCTTGGGTGGGAAAATGTTGTTCTCCCTCTTTATATGGGGTGACTTTAAGTAAGACTTAGTTACATTTAGCGTAAGTTACGTCGAAAAAACGAACATGAACAAAACACTTTGGGTGCGTTTGGTTTAGGGAATGTTGTATTATTAAGAATGTTATATTAATGAAAAGAAAAATTACCTTGAAGAGTACTAGGAATGTTTAGGGAAATGTGTTTAGTTGGTTAAAATAAATTAGTGGGTATATTATATTAATATGTTTGGTTGGGAGGAATAGATTGGTGGGTATGTTATTTAAGTTAGTGAATTGTTTTCTAATTAAATATTATTATTAAAAACTTGACAAAAACAATCCCATAATAAAAGTTTGGAAAATGAACAATGCACCCCCACCAACCCAGCCATTGCTGGCCCTTGGCAACCACCGCCGGCTGCCAGTAGCTGGCAACCTAACGGTGCATGGAATGCCAGAAATGGCTTCTGTGTGCCGATATGACCATTTTCGGCCAGAGATCTAGCTGGAAATATCTAGTCGTTGATGGCCAGATTGATGGATTTAGCTAGAAATGACCAGATTTGGCCAGAAATGACCATATCAATGCACGACGGCTATTTATGGCCTTCTGTGTGCCGTTTTGGAGACGACAACGACTAGTCGCCGGCGGTGGTTGCCGGCAAGTAGGTGGCGGTGGCTTGGGTGGGCTAAATTTATTTTGAATTCAAGGGTAATTTTGTCCAAAAAGTTAATTAATTGGGGTAATATTGTAAAAGCCAAATTCATGTAAATTGATTTTAAAACAAGGGCATTATTGTCCAAAAAATTTATTAATAAGGGATAAAATTGTAACAAAAATAAGATAACTAAGTAATCTTACAATATTTAAGAAAATTGAGGTTATGAGATTACCTCCAATATTACCAACAGTAACTACTATTGGTATTGGAAGATTACCAAAATTTTATATTACTTGACAACCAAACGAATCAAGTAATATAAGAGTATATAACCTTAGTAATCCTATATAACCCCCAACCAAACGCCATCTCTATGTTACATCTAGATAACTGACATGGGGAAAATGAACATGAATAAAAACTTGTTTCAACAAGTATCTAATCGAATAATAGATATTTATAGAAATCCTTGTGTGGACCGTTGATTAATAGTAAGCCCTGCACATACTAAAACCCGAGTCTGTTAAATTTCATTAGTGAAAATATGTTAGATTGTGGAATGACCATTTTACCCTTGTTTAACCTATTGTGAAATTTAAAACACCCTGAACTAGAATTTCTAAAACACTTCTCCATCTCTCAAAAGATGGTCGCCAACACCTTCAATGTTGTTGGAGGCCTCCACGGCCTTGCAACAACCGCTTGAGGTTGTCGACGGCCTTGCGACAACCACCAAAGCCATGAAGCATTCATGGTGATGCCAATTGAAGGGCAATAAATCCTCTTAACGGCCAATTAAGGCTGAATATGGTCCCTATTGGCTCTGAGATGCTAAATCCAGTATCTCGGTGTTGATAGAGACCATATTTGGTCACTTGGCCTTGCTAAAGACCAGATCTGACATCTTGGCACTAGTAGACACTATAATAATGCCTAGAAAATATGAGATAATTACTCTAACAATCACCCTGCCACAATCAAATATTATCCTTATTTGATTAATTCAACTATAACTCATTAAAAAACAAATAATTTAATTAAAAAAATATTTATTTTTTAAGAATATAACATTCCCTTCCCCTTGAAAACACCCTTGTCCTCAAGGGTTTAATTCAACTAAGGTGACCATGGAATTTCAAAACTTCCACCAATAATTTCCATCTCTTCGTTTGCATCACTGTCATTGAGACAAGCTTGAATCATGAACAATTTTTTGCAATGATGTCTGGGACCAAATTTTTCATTACATTTGAAGCATAATCCCTTTTTCCTTCTTTCATCTATTTCTTCCATTGTTAGTCTCTTGATTGGCATTGTTGTTGGACCACTTTGAGCTTCATAATTTGTGGATGAAACTTTGGATGAGACGAGATCACGGGCTTCATTCCTAGCTTCATAAAGCCTGTCTAACTCAATGGCTAAGGACAATGTCGAAGGTCGATTTGCTAGCACATCAGCTCTAATGGAATCCTT